CGAAACGACCGCAATTCGTGAAAACTCCAAGTTCTTAGTAGACAGTGCCATTGGCCTCCTCAAAGCCATATTTGCTACCCAAACATGTTGGTTCAAAAACAACGAAAAATTATGCTGAAAATAATCGCGCGGACGTGGAGGAAATGTTGTACCTTGGCTTAGAAGGAGCTTTTTCGACCCAAGTGAAATCGTATTTTACGGTCAATAGGCAGCATATAACATAAATTACAGCTTTATTCTTGACACAACGGGTTCAACTGCATGCTATTCTCTCGCATAATGAATTTTCTTTTCTAAAGCCGGTTTCAGCCTGAAGTAATAACAGTATTGCTTATTTTGTAATACTTTTGTACTCATAGAAAACTGTTTTAAATAAAACTTTCGACAAACAAACGGAGAATGTAACTTGCTATCTTACTAACTTTCTCAAGCCCTGCCGCCATCTTAAAAATTCGTTATCCAGAATGTGTAGCGGTGTGGTCATACCACCAGGAGGGCGACTTTCTTGTGAGTTAATGGAAAATAATTTTCGTGATTTGAGGAGCCCAATTTTAGCGTCTTCAATGATGGCTAATTCAACTGTGACTTTGAACGAAAATCAAAGGTTGCATACGCACACAAATAGCGAATCTTGGTAAATGAGAAAATCGAAGAGCACTGACCCCAAAAATGAAAATGAAATAAATTGAATGAGAAATCCAAAGAAAATATCAAGCTTTTACTAATATTACAGATCTATGCAAACAAGAGAGTTATTCTATTGATGCAAATCAATAAGTTTAATAAACTGGAGAGATTCCTCAACAAAACACCAGTCCCTGTTATTTTGGTTAGTATCGCTGCCTGCATTTCTGGTCATAGCTGAGTAACATAAAGTATAATTACTAAAACATGCAGTAGAAGAAGCAAGAGATTATCAAGGTAAGAGAGTGCATCCCCCCTATAGGCCTTACACCCAAGGTAATCCCTCTTAAGTTGTTTTTAGACATTGTACTCAGTTCTTCCACAGATGTTACTCACGCATTGCGTGGATGTTTTCGTGGAGGCTCAGTTTATGTTTCGTTTCGTTTCGTTTCAAAGCGAAGGAAAACCACCAACGCTGTGAGGATGTCTTTTTTGCTGATATTTTAAATACAGGCAATCTCGCTACGTTTTAATACATTTTGAAACTTTGATAGGAGACGGATGTCCCCTGCACAAACAATAACAACTGAATGAATGGCAGAGAAATGAGTAGACAAACGAGTGCAAAGCAAACAAACGCCCAAACACACGCTAACGGCCCAAACACAAACGGTCTCTTGGCAACATACGATATATTTACTAGCTAGGATGCGATAGTAAAAATAATGGGTTAAATTTGGCCTTTAATTTGGTGATCGTTTTCAAAAACCGCTAGCAACTTAGGTGCACGAAAGGATGGAAAGAGCTCAACCAAACACGATAAAAAAATTTAACGTTTTTCCCCAAAAGTGAAACTTTTCTCAAAAAAACCTCATAATTATAATTACACTTGACCGCA